GGATTGATTTCATTATTTTTAAAGGTGCCAAGTAAAAGAAGAAAAAAATATAATTAAAAAGTCAGGCATAGGGCCTCCCTGGTGGCACAAGGGGTTAAGCACAGCACTATGAAGCAATCTGAGACTCTGCAGCACACGTTCGATCCCCGGCCAGCCAGGGAGCTACCCACATGGTGTAGCAGACCTCTCCTGACTCGCCTGCTGCTCCCCTCAGCAGTGTGTTTCAGTCCATCTGCCTGTTTTTTCCCCACTCTGTCTCTGGTGGATCCTCTCACCCCCACATCTCTGGCCTGTACCCCAGCTCTTGTATGCATAAATAAATAAATTTTTTTTAAAAAAGTCAGGCATAAAGAGCTTGTTTTGAATCACAATTATGAAAAAAAGAAATCTAATTTGTGCATCTAAGGATCAGATTTTTTTAATAAAGAGTAGGGGAAATAATAAAGAAATAGCCAAGTACCCACTTCCAAATTTAAGACATAAAGCACTGCAAATACAACCAGGGCCTCTGTGTACCCATCCCTAATTCCATTTCCCTTCTTAGTCCCCAGAGGACACCACTTTCTGATTGTTTTTATATTCCTTCATCTCTTCTTAAAAGCTTCTCTATCTATATGCATCCATGAGCCACAGAGTTGCTTTTGCATGATTTAAAACTTCAGAACAACGGTACTGCATTATGCATAATAGTCTCACTCTGGCTTTATCTGGTCAACACTTTTTTGTATCAGTCCATTCAACTCCCTCGTTTTCTCATTTTTCTAGTGTTTATTTTATTATATGAAATTTTTTCTGTTATATAGACATGCAGCAATTTATTTATCCATTTTCTTGGTGAAAGAAAGTTGGTTGTTTATAATATTTGCTGCTGCACATAAGGCTGCCATCAACATTCTTATATTCATCTTCCAAGTACGTGTGCAAGAGACATTCTGGAGAGAATGCCTAGGAATGAAATCAGAGGGCAGAGGACACAAGCATCTTCAGCTTTGCTGGGTAATGAATACCAGATTGTTGCCCAGAGAGTTTGTGCCAATCTACACATCCACCAGTGATGTGTGAAGTTCCCCTACTCCACATCCAGGCCACCACCTGGTCTCATCCAGCTGCAGATTTGGTCATTTTGATGAGGTGTGCATGCCCTCTAGCTGTCACTTGACACTAATTCCTAATGAGGTTCAACATCTTATGTTTATAGGATAATTTTGTGGCCTCTTTTATACAGGTATTGTTGTGTCTTTTGCCCTTTTTTTTTTTTTTCCTCCTTGGAAGTATTGTCTTTTTCTTATAAATGTATAGGCATCCGCTGGTTATTTTACTGTGTTGTTCTGTTGGTGTATCTCTGTGCCGAAATCACACCATTTTAATCCCGGCAGCTTGACAATCGTGTTCACTAGTTATTTCCTTCTGTGAATAACCAGTAATTCCCTTTACTTAGTTATTATTATTTTTTTGTCTTTCTCCCTCCTCTTCCATGTCCTCATTTTCTTCCTCACCCCCCTTTTCCTCATCTTCTTTCTTCTAGAATATCTTAGCTCTTCTTGTATCACTGTTCTATCTGCATTTTAGAATCACCTTGATAATTTCCATGAAAACACTGTTCAAATTTTAATTTGAACTCAATCCATTATTGAATCTAGCAATTTTTGTAAAGAATTTGTATCTTTGTGGCATGACTGAACATGATATATCATTCCCATTTATTTGGAACTTCTTGAATGTCTTTCCATACAATTTCAACATTTTCCACATAAAGCTTCATTAGATTTTTCCTAGGTTTGCTTTTTGGTTTTTATAAATGGTATTATTTTTAAAAATTCCCTTTTAAAGCTTATTACCACTAGAGTATAAAAATATTACACTTTTGGGTCTCCCTGGTGGCACAAGGGGTTAAGCACCACTCTATAAAGCAGTCTGCAGCCTCTGTAGCATGAGTTCGATCCCTGGCCAGCTAGGGAGCAACCCACATGGCACAGTTGACGTCTCCTGACTCGCCCGCTGCTCCCCTCAGCGGTGTACTTCTGTCAATCTGCCTGTTCTGTTCCCCACTCTGTCTCTGGTGAATGCTCTCACCCCCGCATCTCTGGCCTGTACCCTGCTCTTGTATGCATAAATAAATAAATCTTTAAAAAAAGAAGTATTGCACTATTATTCAACTCCTTTTTTAGAGATAGGTTTACAGCTCTTCAGGAATGAGAGACCCAGACTAGACGTGTTAACAGTCACGAAATTAGTAAATTAGATATTCAGAGCTGATACTCGGTGGGGGGTGGGGGACACACGACTATAAGGCTACTCCATTCCCATGGCATGGTTAGCCCAGTAAATAGGTTGACTATTACCTCTTAGGCACATCTGCTGGTGCTACTATAAATGCCAAGGGCAAAATATCAGTCTTAGTGGTTCCTCATCCAAGAACTAGCTTGCTCAAAAAGAGACCACCAGCTTTAGGGGTCAAGGAGAGAAACAGACCTAAAGGCATAACTAAGAAGATTCTAGCCAGTGCCACCTCCGACACCCCCAATCTTCACCCTACTGTTTCACCTGCAGTTTCACAAGCATATCAACCTTGATGTGTTTCAGACTAATTGAATCATCTCTAATGCTCAATCTACCCTATTCCTGAGTACCCTAATTATTGGAACAGTATCCCTAACCATCTTGTCCCCTATAACAGAAGACTCAACATCATTCTAGACCCAGCCTTATTCTCATTTCTGCTCTCATATTGCTCACCAAGATCTGTCAATTCTAGATCACAGGAAAAAAAAAAAAACTCTTCAAGACAGCCTCTTCGTCATCCTCATTACTGCTCTCTCCTACATTTTTGCATTGTTTCCTAACTGGTTTCTTGGCCTCCCAGCCTCTTTGCTCCACAAGCCCCTCCCTCTAATGCTGCTAGTATGAGCAGTCCTTCCTGGACCACCCATCTTTTGGTAGAAGGGCATGTATGGGAGCCATCTGCCTTGACAGGAGTATTTTATCACTGACATTGTTTAGAACGATGCTAATATAAATCAGATTGACTCTGAGTTGGTTTTATTATTGCATTCAAATTCTCAACAGATGATACCCCCTTTTTGCTTACACCTGGCCAAATATCCCCACCTGTACCAGAGATAGCATAATCTACCTATTGAGCCTCTGTGAAGGTTAAATGAAACAGCACCCACTGAGAACTTTGCTAGCCCCTGCATGGGTGAGCACTGAGTTAATGTTAACAGTTATTAGTCAGAACACTAGTATCAGTTCCTACTTCCTATATGAGTTCTGTTTTGGCCAACAAATCCTTCACACCTGGCCTCAGGAACCCTCTTCCACTCCTTGTACCCCATATTCTAGATCACCTATTATATCATTTACCCTGCCTTCAGCAGACCAGGTTTTCTGTGTTCCCACACTTCTGCAAATGCCCATTACTCTTCCTGAATATGTCCCCTCCTTCTCTATAGATTCATCATTTAATCATTTCAGGTCCACAGTCATGTTTTCTATGAAGTCATCCTCAAGCTCCCCAGATGATGAACTGCGTGCTGATGGCTCTCTAGACAGATAACCTGACTAAAGCCGTCCTCAACCAGAGCTCCTGGAAGGGAAAGTCAGCCTGCGCTTATCTTTGTGATCAATTTTATATCCACGGTCACTAAAATTGTGTCTGCCACTTAATTCTTAACACTTGTGGGTTTTTCTTGTTTGCTTGTTTTGTTCTAGGGGAACGAATGAATGAGTAGGGATGACTCACTTAACTTCACCCTAGATCTGGCAAAAAGTTTTAGTAGCAATTTTGGTCATTTTGTGTAACCAGATCTTGGACCCTTCCTTCCACACCCCAAGAAAAATATTCCCAGATCTTAGTGTTTGTCTTCCGAAGGAATTGGGCGCAGTAACTAAAGGCAAGTATTTAAAAGCAAAGAGGGGGCCTCCCCGGTGGCGCAGCGGTTGAGCGCTGGGTTGCGAAGCTGCCCGCGGCCTCTGCGGCGCCGGTTCGATCCCCGGCTGCTCCCCGGCCACCGGAGGAGGGGCCCACATGGCGGCAGACCTCTCCTGCCGCCCGCTGCTCCCCTCAGCAGTGTACTTCGGTCCTTCTGCCTGCTCTGCTCCCCACTCTGGCTCTGGTGAATTCTCTCACCCCTCCGCGCTTCTGACTGTACCCAGTGCATGTGTAAACAGAACAAACAAACAAACAAATAAATAAATAAAAAAACATGCCTCTATAAAAAAAAAAAAAAAAAAAACATTTAAAAGCAAAGAGGGATGAGGTCAACCCGGCCTTCGCAGGCATCCCTGAGAGGGCGCTGTTCCCAAACGCAACCTCCAGGGGCCGGGGATGAAATGCCAGCGCGTTCCCACCGGACTCAGCATCCCTTCCCAGGCAGCGGCCGCAGGTCTGGAGCGCAGCGCCTGCCCACAAACATGGCGGCGCCCTGCTCGGCTTCGACTCGCCGGGACCCGCGGGCCGGGCCGGCCTTGCCAGTACTCGGGGACTTCCTCCGCCCGCCGGCTTCCTGCACCGCTGGCATTTAAACCAGCGCCTGGGGCTGCGGGCTGCCCTGCGGATGCCGAGCTGTCTGACGGCCGAGCAGCACCGCCGCCTCTCCAGAGCCTCCCGGCAGAAGCCACAAGCATCCCGTAGCTGCAGCGGGGACGAGCAGGACAGGGCTGGCGAGAGCTCGGGAGCGCACGCCTCCGACCCCGGCATCGGGCAGTTTAATTGCAAGCTTGACTTTAATTTCCGAGATCGCAACCCTCCTGCCCAGCTCAGATATTTTTTCTCTCTCCGGCCTGGGTTCCTGGATGAGGCGGCGGCTGGACTCGGTCCCAGACGCAGGACCAGAGCGCGTCCCCGGCCCCACGCCGCCGCCCCAGGGACTCCCGAGCCGCGCGCCCGGTCATGGTGCGACTGAGCCCGGCGCTCCTGTAAGGCGGCGGCGCCCCTCCGAGCCCAGCGGGCCCGCCCTGCAGGGCACCTTCCCCCGGAGCCCAGGGCGCCCGGACCTGGTGCTGCGCGCGCTCCTGCTGGGGCTCCGCGCGGGGCCCTGCGGTGGCCGCGATGTTCAGCTGGCTGGGTTCCGACGACCGCCGCAGGAAGGACCCCGAGGTCTTCCAGACAGTGAGCGACGGGCTCAAGAAACTCTACAAGAGCAAGCTTCTGCCCCTGGAAGAGCATTACCGCTTCCACGAGTTTCACTCGCCTGCCCTGGAGGATGCGGATTTCGACAACAAGCCCATGGTCCTGCTGGTGGGCCAGTACTCCACCGGGAAGACCACCTTCATCAGGTGAGCCGGCCCGGGCCCTGCCAGTGCGCCCGCGCCCAGCGCTGAGGCCTCGTCCACTCCCGCTCGCTGTCCCCTCCTGCTTGGGAACCATTTTCACAAGAAACCCTCGGTGCGCTGGTGTCCAAAGTTCTCCCCACAATTGCATATCTGGCCCCCGACCCCATCCTACCAAGTGCCTCCCTGATGAGCTCAGCATTTGCTAAGGAGGTCGGTTTGAAGTTCAGAGGTATCCCTATTCTCATTTTGGTGAGGCTGAGGCCCTGGAGGAAGTGAGAAACTCAGCTCCTGGGGGCAAGAGGACTTTATGTGGGTGGGGGAGTCTTCCACCCACATTCCCTCCCTCAGGGGACCACTCCCTGGCTCAGCCACTCACAGGGGGGCTTTACAGCTGCAGCTGAAGAGGAGGGCCAGGGACCAGGTGGCCCTCCACCTGCTAGTGCCTTTCATCCATTTCCTTCTCTGAGCAGAGCTCCAACATACAGCTCCCCAACACCAGGCAAGAACTGTCCAGAAGCAGAATGCATTTTTCTTTTCCCTTTTTTTAATCTTAATGGCTCAGTAATAATATTAAAGTCTCCTGGAGGAGGAAAGGACACTGGCAATTTTGTCCTCCAGCCCTTTACTTGGCAAGTGCACGCCCAGACTTAGAGGTTGAATGAATTGTCCAAAACCATAGAACCAGGCAGGACGCAGGTTCTAGATGCATGGGAGGAGATCGTTGGCTAAATGCCTGTCACTGAGGAGGGTGTGAGTCATCCATTCCTTGGGCTGGAGGGATCTAAGAGTCAACTTGTCTACCTTGATTCAGAGAGGTCCACATACTGCCCCCGCAGAGTGATAAGGCTCCCCCCTCACCTTAAAGGACAGGCTTCTCTCTGGTCCTCAGTCCACAGCCCTTCGAGAGCAGGCCATTTTTCTTGATCTCATGGGTAGTCATCACCACATTCATAAGGGTCCTTGTGGCCCTCTGTGTTGAGAGTCAGGCTCCCACAGAGTGGTGATGAGAGCCATGGTCCCCAAAATCAATGGTGCTCATCTCCTGTGGAAGGTTTCAAAGTAGAGGTTCTCTTTTTCCCTTCACTGACTGAGCACCTGCCACATGCAAAGCGCTGCTGAAGCGCTTTGTTTACTGAAGGCAGAGAAGTTAAGAATCTGGTTATTGATTTTCTAGGTACTAATTTTGTCTAAGGGTGAGCCCCTAACACATCCTCTGGCAGCATGCCCCTCAGTGACGTGTGTCTGGACAGAAAACCAGATCAAATTTGCCCTTGTAGGGGTGGACAGCCTTAGACTCATCAGTTTTGAGGAGCTGAATGATCTCTGAAGAAAGGGGGTGGTGGATGAGCCTGATAGCTTTTGGATATTGTGTACTGTTAAACTACAGTGATTAGTGTAACCCATTGCTTCCCAACTTTTTAAAAGGTCCTTTAAAAAGCTGATGAAAACTGTGGATCTCTATTTAGAAAAATGCATATACATCCCAAATTTACATCTAATTTGAGGATGAGACTGCCTGGCCCAATTCATCTCCTTTATTTTATTGAATACACATTGCTGCCCAAGGGCCTTCAGAGCTCCCGCTCTGTGGCAAGGTTTCCTTTGGATTCCATATCCCCCAGCCAAAGGGATGGGCAGGCTATTCACAGATGACTCCTGCTGCTGCTCAGCCTTCCCTGGCCCTCTGGACACTCCCTGTGTTTAGCTCTGTACATTATTTGGAGCTTTTCCTTCCTGTAGCACCAACACTTACAAGGGTGGCTTAGCTCCCCAAGGGGTTACCCACAGCAGGTCTCAGTCATGGAGGTTCTGACTTTTGCAGAAAGGGAGGGAAGGTGGGGTAAAGCCAGTGTCCCTGGGGCAGAATGCGCTGTTGGATTTAAGTGCCTCTTGTCTGAGACACTCCCTGGCTTTGCCTGAGTCACCCTGGCCTGGCCATTAACAGGGTCTGAGAAAGGGACAGAGTGGAGTTACCATAGATTATTCCTTATCTGAAGAAGACAGGAAGGCCGCGGAAGAGAGAGGTCCCAGCTTTTTCTTATCCTCCAAGTACAAGAGTTTTCTCCTCCTCACTTCTGTCTGTAACTGAATTTAGCTTCTACATCTAAAGCTGTCTACCCTTGAGGGAGAGCCCCCAGCAGGGTAGGAGGGGTCATAGCACAGAGAAACCCTCCACAGCCACATGACACATTTTCCTTCCTTCTCATTAAACCTACTGAACATGTTTTTAAATTGGAAAATGCAGATAAGAATAAATTCGAAGAAGAAAAAATTTACCCATACTCCCACGTCTCAGGGGAAACCATTTTAAATATCATATATATTTATCTTCCTGGCATTTTTGGTTATTTTATAACAGTTGAGCTCTTGCTGTGATTTTGTATGCGGGTTTCTTGCTTATAGCCTGAGTGCTTCCCAGGTACATTAAAAAAATCTCTGCAAGCATTATTTTAAGAACTTCATGATATTTCACTGTGTACATAGACAATTATTCATTTAACCAGTCTCTTGAATGTTTTAGAGTGTTCTAGTTTTTTTTTCTATTGTAACATCACTCTGAACATCTCTGCAGATGATATTTCTGCACATATGGGACTGTTTTCTCAGATTCCCAGACATGAAATCACTTGGTCAAAGGTTGTGCAGAGTTCTGTGTTTTGTTTTTTTTTTTAATTTACTTACTTTTTAAGTTATTAAGAATTATATTCTTGAGGTGCTGTCCAAGAAGCTAAGTTGTCAGTCCCCCACCTTACCCCACCTCCCATTTCCTACCCTAAGCAGGGGAGTTTCAGCCCCATCCCTGGCTGGAACCTGGGAAAGACCTTTCCCTCAGGGACAAAGACTTCCTTCTTCAGTCCCCATCGCTGGGCCTTTTGCCTCCTGAGTGTCCACGTTCAGTTATATGTACTTGCTACAGGATCTATTTCTTGTCTCAGAAAGAACATGCAGAAAAGAACATTCTTCTAATAACTAATTAATGTGCTATGATCTCTGCCTGAAATAACTCCCCTGGCCTAAGGCCCAGCAACCCAGAGTAATAAAATAAACAATAAATTGGCCTGGTGGCCCTCCTTCCCACGCGGGCTGCATCTTTGGAGTACAGTAGCCCTGTGTCCCTGTGGCTGGCTGCCTTTCCTCCTGCCTCTGCTATTTTCTCCTCTCTCTCCTCCTCTGGCTGGCCTGCAGCCTCAAGTCCCTCCTCCCTGCACCAGTTTCAGGGACTGAGGAAGGCCAGAGTACCCACAGGTGGTAAGGCAGGCCTAGTGGGCCATGGAGCAGGGACAGGAGAATCGGGTGTGGGGCCTGGTCTGGCTATATTCTCAAGGATGCCTGGCTGGTCTTAAGGACCATGTGGGCTTTCTATAACATGACTTGGATCCCGAAGTATGAATACTTGGAGAAAGGGTTGTGGAGGTATGGTGGGAGGCTATTCAGCAGGTCCTTTTGACCTCCTCAATTTCTTCAGGGCCTTGTTATGTCCTCCTCCAACAGTGAGTTGGCATTTGCTTGTGGCTGCACCATATGGTCACCTCCCTGGCATCCCCGTCAGCCAGGCCTTACCCTGAGCATTACAGTATTATCACCCCATAAAAGAAGATGATTCTCTGGAAAGCTGAAAAAAGCTGACAAAGAACCCCCTGACTCCAGATAAACCCACTGACCTCTGCAAAGTCCATCCTGCCAGCCACAATCCCTGTACCAGCTCTCTCCTGTCTGCCCTCTGGGGTTAAAGGACTTGAGGATTCTGACCTGGTCCCTGAGTGGGGCTAGGGCCTTTTTCAAGGCCTAAGTTTTACTCAAGGAACCAGACGGCCCTTGAATGGAGGAACTATGTCACCCTGCCTCAGGCCCAGCTTACGATCTTCCTTGAAAATCAGCTGTCTGCAGTCCTCGGCAGAAGATTTTCTGCGAGAAGGGCCTCTGGAAGACAGACTCCTTCCTGGTCCTATTGCCAGTGTGGTGGGACCTTGGAAAGAACACAGACTGGCTCAGCAGAGTCCAGGCCACACAGGTAGCAGCCAAGAGGCCTCGTGATCAAGGCCTGACTGCTCTGAGCCTCAGTTTCCTTGTCTCTAACGTGACTAGAAAGCACATTCTCAGGCTTGTTCGCAGGAGCGCTGTTCTGTTCCTCGCACTGGACTTGAGGCTGTGCCTTGCCCTCTTTTTCTAGTGGATTCTCTTAACTTCCAGGCTGGCCCTCAGGAAGGTGGGAAGCCCTATGGGCACAACACCCAGTGTGGGAAGCAGGGAGAAGAGAAGGAGGCAGTATGTACAGCCTGAAGGAGCCTGGCTCCCACCTCCCAGGGTGGGAGGAGGAGCATGAAACAGAACTGGGGAGGCCGGGCAGGGCAGGGGCAGAGCAGGGACAAAACAGGGCCTGCCACAGGGCAGGGGCAGACAACCTGAGGCACCAGGGAAAACTTCCATCTGGCCACTGGACTTTGTGTGGGGCCATTTTACCCCATGGGGTAGGCTGCTCCCAGGAGCACTGAGCTGACTCAGACCTCAACTGGCCGTGGAGTTGGGAAACTCTACAGGCAGTGCTGGGTAGTAGCTCCCATCTGCTCCCTCCCTAGGTGTCTGTGGGGTGCTTCAGGGTCTCTCTAAAGTCCTGTGAGGCCAATAGGGTGGAAATTACTGTCTGAACCCCTTTTTAAAGCTCGAGTCCCCAGTGCTTAGTGAGACTAAAAATGTAGATATATAAGCAAATGTCTATAATAATACAAGCCAGAAAGTAGCATTCCCCGAAGATACACAAATTAATAGCTATGTGATTTTCAGGGAAGAGAGTGAGGTGGTAATGAATCAGTTAAGGCTTGGGAGGAGGAGGCAGGGAGGTGCGCTGGGGCTGGTTTGGAGATTAGGTAGCAATGTGCTGAGTTCTTAGCGGCAACTCTGAGGTGTCCCTTTTCCCCAATTATTCTCTCTGCCTGTCTGGGCACGTAATCTTTGTTTTTCCCAACCTCACATATATCATCTCAAAACCTTCATTCTATTCTTCTGACCTCACTAGAAAACAACTATTATCTCCATTTTATAAACCAGGGACACTGAGGCAGTGGCCTTTAGGGCTGTGTCCAAGGCCATATCTGCTCAAACCACCACCCATGAAGTTGCTTCCTCCCCCACCCCCAGCACTGTTGTGGGGCCTTCCCCTCTCTTCCCCCGCCCCCCTGCCCTGGCTGGGTGCCTTCCGCAGCAGCCTGAGGTCTGCAGCCTGAGTTCTGGCCCCACTGTGGCAGAGATGGGTACTTTGTTGTTTTTTTTTGTTTTTGTTTTTTTTTTTAAATATTAAATTTTATTTTTATATTCCCCCATACAATTGCAAACGCCCCATTCTGACCCCAATCCTTCCCCTCCCGCCCCCCCCCCCCCAAAAAGTGTCTCTGGTTCATAGTTTTTTGTTGATTTTGATTTTCACTTTCTTAGAGATGGGTACTTTGGAGGCAGAATATAAGATTCTTGGCTCCGTGCCTTGCCCTGGGTGCTTAGGTCACCACTAAAGCAGGCCACAAAAACATGAGGAAAATGTTATGAAATAATTTACTTAAGAAGAATATGCAGAAAACTCATTCTCAGGGGGCAAGTTGGCATTGCACTGGACTTCCTTGCACTGCTTTAGGATTCAGTGCTTATTATTTTGCATTGGATGGCAAAATCTTTTCCGCCCTTAAATCCTCTCACTTTTCTCATCTGGCCCTGAACTTGGATCGCCTCTATCTCAATGTAGGGAGCTGCAAGACCGCAATAAAGCTGCTGTCCTGCAGTATTTATAGGACTGACTCAGTGGAATAATTTGAGTAAATGTTCCAAAACAGCACCTGTCCCCCCTTATTCATGTGGGTACCCCTCTCTGCCCTTCCCGCCTAGGCTTGCACTAATTTTTCTTTGTTTATGCCTCTGTGGGAACGTTTCTGCCTGGCAACAAAGGCGATCTGTATCACTTCCCATAGAGAAGCAGTGATGAGCTCCCTCAATAAGTTTTCCTTTCTGGACACAGTGACTGCTTTGTTCAGGGGGCACTCGGTGCTGCCAGCCATACCCAAATGTCCCTGCGAATTTACCCCTCTCCAGGGTCCTCTGGTTGGACCGTGTCCCTGGATTTGCTGGTGGTTTTACTAGACTCTGTGTTTCTCCAGACCTATGTGTGGTCAGCAAGTTTTGGGGTCCTGTGGGTTTAGCTGAGAGGGCAGGACAGCAGGCCCTTGATGGTAGCCTTGGACTGCAGCTCCAGGACATCTGGGGAAGTGGCCCTGCTCTGCTGGGAGGCGTCATACTGGCCCATCTGCTGATACTTAGAGTCTCCCTCTTAGGGATGAAATCTGAGACGCCTGTGTCAGAAAGATACTTCATCCCTGCCATGTGGCCTGTTCAGGCTGGGCCTTCTTAAAGCTGTTCAGAACTGTTTCTTTCCAACTCAGCTTCCTATGTCAGCTGCCCCGAAGACTTTGATGAGAACCACAGCCAGCATCTGCCCAGAATTCACACTTGCTCCCCACCCACCACCCCCAGCATGGTCCTGCATAGGGCTTCTCACTCAGGTGTCCTTTCAGGCAGGTATTCCCACACACGGGCAAAATAGATGGGTTTCCCATCAAGGTGTTGATTGACATGAAAGTACTTCCCAGGAGAATCTGGCCCTACTGAGGTTAAGTCCCCCAAAATGTCCTCTTGGAGCCTGTGGGCCTGGGGTCTGCTCTCTTCACCTGATAGCTACAGCTTTTGCATACAACACCCCACTCATTGCTGTGGAGCTGTGAGCCCAAGGGTGGATGTTCATATAGATGAGTGCGTTCCTGGGCTTGTGGGTCCCACATCCTAACCTCTCCCCCAAGCTTGACCCCTGGCAGCCTCCTGCCAAACCACGTTCCTTTGTGGCTTTCTTGTCTTTCCTTCTTCCAGGCCCATGTGGACCTCAGTGCTTTGGCCTGTGCCCAGAAGTGGCTGCATTTCTTGGTCAAGGCAGGAAAGGAGACAGTGAATGTAGTGGCTCGGAGCCTGAATTCTCAGTCTAGGTGCCAAGTTCAAATTCAGAAGCCCTGCCCGTTACTGATGGCATAACGTGGGGCAGCTCGTTTAGCCTTTCCTCCTCTTTAAAATGGGATAGTAAGGCCTCCCTGGTGGCGCAAGGGGTTAAGATGCAGCACTATGAAGCTATCCGCAGGATCCCCAGCCAGGGAGCTACCCACATGGTGCAGCAGACCTCTCCTATTTCACCCGCTGCTCCCCTCAGCAGTGTATTTCAGTAGATCTACCTGTTCTGTTCCCCACTCTGTCTCTGATAAATCCTTTCATCCCCCACACCTCTGGCCTGTACCCCAGTTCTTGTATGCATAATAAAATAAATCTTTAAAAAATGAATAACAAATACAATGGGATAGTAATCTGGGTATCAAAGAGTGATGTAAGTACTTAAAGGCTGTAACTAATTTGATGCTGGTTTAAGTCTTAAGCTCTGTAACTAGATTGATCCTAGGAGGTGTCTTTTCTTACTAGGCCCATTTGATGATAAGGGTGTAGTGTCCACATCAGAGGAGACATGAAGATAAAAGGAGATAATCCATGCGAAGTCCAGAACAGCACCCGGTGCACTGCAACTGTCACCTCCCCTGTGAAAGTGAAGGGTGTAGGGCCCACAGAAGTCCAGTGCCTCATGCTTAGAGAAGCCAGATCTGCCTGTTCCCACCCCTCGTGGAGGCCTGAAGGAGAAGGCATAAGGAAGCAGGAAGTCCCATTCAAGTGTGCAGCTGTTGGGATTTATTCTCTTCACACCCCCAAGTGATAGTTTTTAAAATGATCTTCCAACAGGAGGAAATCCTGCCTTCACACCCAGATTGTTGGGCCTGGATCCCAAAGGGAGATGAGGGTTTTCCTGAGGCAACCTGAAACCCTCCTGTGCCTGCGGGGTGGCCTCCTGGGCTGAGCAGCAGCTCTAAGGCAGGAGGCAGGCTCCTTGGGGAGGGAGCCCATGGCAACCCTGCCCTGGAACTTCAGAGAAGCTAGCAGCTGGGAGCTCTTCTCCAAGGCACAAGCAGATGTCGACAAGCTGGAAGAAACTCCAGCAAGTCTCCCCAGCCACCACTTTGTCAGGCTGAGCTGGTTACTGCTCCAGGCCCACCTCTGGCAGGCAGAGCGTGGGCCCTGCAGACATGGCCTGAGGTCCCAGCTCTGCCCAGGCCTTCAGTGGGGCCGTGACCCCCCTCTCTCTGGCAGGCATTTCTTCAGAGTAGAAGACAGTTGAAGGACAGATGTTAGGCTGTTATGGATGTGGATTCTGGGTCCACTCCAGCTGGAGAAAGCCACATAACCCTTCTCAGTCTTGGATTTCTCAATAATGCCTGCTGTGAAGCTGAAGGAAGCAATGTTCCCGAAGTGATCAGTATAACATCTGACATGTGGAAATGCTCCTGTCAGGGATGATTATCAGTAAAATGAGAACATTGGTTCAGAGCAGTTTGTCAACCCTGCCTGCATATTCAGATCAGTAGGAAAAGTCCTAAAAAGTACCAGCTGCCAAGGCCCACCCCTGAGCAAATAGATCAGAACCTAGGGTGAGGCCAAGGCACCACCCACCAGAGCTGCAGGGGGCGCCAGGGCTGAGGACCACTGGTCCGGGACATAGCCTGGTTCCCTTCCCAACCTCACAGACTCTGACTTGACCTCTTCCCTGAGGGCTTCTTGGTTTTTCCCTCCAAGAGTGAATACGGGCCCTCTTAGTTAAGGAGGAGACTCCCAGCACACGATGGAGGCTCATCTCAGGGGTCACTCCTTAGCTCCTGGTCCATGCTGGCTTGGGAAGAGGCCCTGGGGACTCTCCCCCGGCCAGTCCCAAGCCAGCAGTTCTGGGCTCTCTCCTGGGAACAGACTCACACTGTTTGGGTTTAAAGCTGTTCTGAGCTCCTTCCAAATGGCCTGGTTGTCCTCACAGGCTCTGCCCTTCATTCTCTGGCTCATATGTGATATTGATCTTGGCTTCTAAAGGGGGCTGTGGAGAAGGACATGTGGCCTTGGACTCACTGCCCAGGAGGAGAGCCAGAGAGAACCTGCCACCTCAGGTCACAGCTGGTGCAGAGACGGGCCAAGAGTCCAGGATGGGATGGGAATCCACTTCACACTGTGTCACATAAGCACAGTTTTTTCATTGAATGACTGACTAACCAGGTAAATTAATAGGAAAGTGAGCAGACCGCATGGATTGGCCATGCCTTCTGAGGGCATGTCAGCTGCCCTCACAACCTCGAGTTGTGGGGTCTTCAAAACTTGGCCATGCTTTGTTTCTGAGCTCAGATATTGTTGGGTTTTTTTTGATGTTGTTGTTGTTGTTGTTTTGTTGTGTGTTTTTTGTTTTTCTTTGTCCTGGCTCAAGGAGGGAAAAAGATAAGGACCAAAAAGGACAGATTTGCTATATTAAGATCAGTTGCAACCCCACCTCCTCCACGCAGTTATTTGAGGTCTTATCTGAGAGGGCAGCCTCTCTCCCTGCCATGAAAGCCCAAGCTCCGGGCCTGCCCCTGTGTGACCCTCGTCTGCCCATGGAGACAGGAGCCCTGCATTGTGACTGTGCTCCCTTCTGCCAGGTACCTGCTGGAACAGGACTTCCCCGGCATGAGGATTGGGCCCGAGCCCACCACCGACTCCTTCATCGCGGTGATGCAGGGAGAGGTGGAGGGAATTGTCCCTGGCAACGCCCTGGTGGTGGATCCTAAGAAGCCCTTCCGGAAACTGAATGCCTTTGGCAATGCCTTCTTGAACAGGTGAGTGCAGGTGTTCCCTTTTCTTCCCGGAGGATGAGAAGCAAAAGGTGGAGGCAGGATTTGGGGACGCTCAATGCTTTTTGCATGCTCAAGGTGTCTCTTGAGTGTTCTTCTCTTGCTAGGCGTGTAACTGAGTGAATCACCAATGATCAGGGATGAGGTAGCTGTAATCTGGGCTGACTCCTGGGCATGGAGCAGGGAAAGGCCTGGAGTTAAATCACACCCAATCTGTACCTCTTTGCAATAAAAGCCTGAGGGGCTACTCTGGCTGGCTAATCCCCCAGCATTGGGGTGGGGGGAGCTTGCATACAACTGAAAGGAGGCAGAGGACATTGTTCTTACTCTGTGGAAAAGACCCAGGACTTAAAATAGAAGCCTTGAGTTTGAGCACTGATTCTCCTATGGACTCACTATGTGACCTTGAACAAGTCCACTCTTCTCCCCTAAGAAGAATCTAAGTCTACAGACACTGGGGTGGTTGTGAAGATTTGAATGGAGGAAACTTTAGGGTCAAGCTGACCCAGGCCTTTCCATCATGACTCACAAGATTGCAGGCTGTCCCCATCATACTTGTTAAATAGATCCAGTGTTTGCATGTGGATCACACTTAACATTTTTTTAAAATGACTGTCTAGTATTGTCATGTATTATTTCGTTCACTCCATGTGTTATCCACCAAGGGGCCTAGGTAAGCCCCTGTTGCCACTTGTTGTCAAAGTTGAGGCTTATTGCCCAAAGGATTCTCAACATGTCTTATCCTGCAGGATGTTTAGTATCAAGCTTTGTGCTTGTCCCTCATCTTTCGTCTAGGAGCACAGGCTCTGTAGCTCTCCAACACAGGATGGGGAGGGTCTACTGGGGAGAGGCTGCATGGGGAGTGTGTGAAATTGTGCATGGGAAGGGGGTGCTCCAAAATAGTGATGCCTGGGGAGGGTCGTGCTGATGAATCTTGGGAAATTGGCCTGGAGGTAGAGCGTCCTCAGGAGTTTGACATGATTTACTTAGGAAACTAAATTGTGCGTCTAAAATAAGAAGATTAAGGTGGCGATGATGTCAAGGTGCAGTGAGACATGTAGCCCTGAGTTGTATCTCTAATATGTGAAGAACATGATGGAGGATGAGTCAGCATGAGTGAGCGGAGGCTGGTAGGTCCAGGGGAGCCTACCAGGGTTGTGGCTGATGAATTTGACTTTGAACACTTGAGCTTGCAGTGACTTGGAGTCCACTGAATAGCATTAATCCATCTGAGGGTAGCTATGAGGAGCAGGATCCCAGTTGAGAGGTGAGAAAGAACTGGGCCTAAGAGCGGTGGGGCTCATTGGAAGACAGAGTAAAGGTTTGGCAGTTAACCCCATTTTGAAATAATTGTGCTCATAATAATCACAACAGTATATGGTATTTTGTGTGATAGCGTATAGTCTATTATGACAACAGAATCTCTGTAATTGCCATCATACACCCGGTGCGTTCTTAAGAGCTGAGCTTTCTGTCATTAATTAAACCCAGCAAGTCTTGCCAAGTCTATTTTTGAACATATTAAAATCAGAAGGTGTGTGTAAGGTGGAGTAGGAGTGCCTTACCCAGGGCAGAAACAGTTAACCTCTTTGAGTCTTAGTCTCTTTATCCACAAATAATAGAAAACAAGTCATCTATGCTGTAATCTCCTACAAATACTGCGTAAAGAAAATCTGAGCACAAGTGCTAGGAAAACGAATTTCGAGTGGTCCCTGGAATTGTTTACAGTGGCTGCCTTTAGGGAGTGGGGTTGAGGGGCGAAGAATGAGGGAGACCCTCCTATTTCTTTTTGCACTTCGCTGAACTGCTTCTTTTGCCATTTGCATACTATTTGATTTATTTAAAAAATTGTATATGAAGGTATTAGGAAAAGAACAATATAAACAGAGAAGGTGACACTATTCAGCTGTGATATCAATGAATAAAGTGTTTAACCTGAAACCGACTCAAGCAAGATCCTGACTTTCCAGAAGGACCTATCTCTGCCTCTGGCCAGGAGACCAACTTTGGTAAAGAAAGAACCGTGACTCCCTCCCAGGGTCTTGCTGAGGGAGAGAATCCATGTTTTATTTCAGCAGACATCAGCCCCGCTGGCCTTGGGCCTAGCTCTGAGGGGGATGTGGGACTGAGCAGGGTCAGAGGCCTGGAGAACAGGCCAGGACCCAGGGCAGGAGGCCTGACACGGCCTTGGTGGAAAATTGGCATGTGAGATCAGCACCCGTGTTCAATGACGAGCGAGATGACACTGACAGGGTTAAAAAAAAAAGGACATTCCAGGCAGAGACAACTGGAAAATTAAAACAAGCAGAGAGGAATGGGAGAATGCTGCTTCACGCAGGAGCCCTCTGACCAGGACAGGGAAGGAATCGTGAGGTCTGGTTTCCTGCAGGACCTCTCGACAGCCAGCCGGGAAGGCGGCTTTCCAGACTGGCCCTCGCAGGGTCTATTGGAAGAACAGCAGGGAAGGGGAGACAGTCCCCCTTCTGTGTGCCCCCAGCTTCGTTGCAGCCACGCACAGGGAGGCTGTACCCAGATGTGGGTCTCCCTCCCAGCACTGCCAAGAGCCCCCATTTCTTGTCCCCCCTCCTTGTCCTCTGGGCGCTCCAGGCCAGCTCCCATCACTCCGCAGATGACCCTGCTTCCTAGTCTAGAGAAAATGAAGCCCGTGCCCCTGGATCCCTTCTAGTTGTTTTTTTCCAATCTGTTCATCAATGGGCTTCATTGACTTCTGTCCTCATTCCCTGCCCCCGAATGCAGGCAGCCAGGACTTCCTTTCCTCCAGGTCTAGCTCCTCCCTCCCCCATGCTGTGCTTGGGGCCAACTGCTCAGGGACAGCTCCGGCTCCATGGATTATTCCTTTCCTTCTGACAACTCCACCCCCTTGGCGCCTTCCCTTCCACATGGAAATATCTCCTCTGAAAAACTTACAGGGAGCCCTACCCCCCCATCCCTATCCCTTTCCTTTCACAGTCAAGCTTCTTGGTCCCACCTCCACACAGCTTCCCGGACAGCTGTCTGCGAAGGTCATTGTGGAGGTGACCTCTTAGTGACCGTAAGAGGGGACACTGACCTTCCCTCCTTCTCTGGTTCTTGTCTCTCAACCACTGGCCCCTCAGTTCACTGACGGTGCTCCTGCGCCCCCTGGCCAGGCGCTCCCCAGCCTCTCTCTGGTGCCTTTTTTCTCTCGTTTCTATGACCTGAGGTCTCCTTCAGTCTGGCCCACCTTCAGTTCCTGGCCCTTCTCTTTCCATGGCCTCAGCCTGCCTGATGCCTCCACCCCAGCCTCAATCCCCACCCCCAGCATAGGGCCACCTGATCACCAAGTGACGGAAGCCTGCTCAAGCTGGCTTCAGCCCAGTGTGGGATCTGTTTTAGAAAACTGGGTGTGTCTTCACCCTGAGGACTGAGTGTGCTTGGGCCTCGGACACCTCATGCTTCAACAGGAGAGAATTAGGCCGCATACTTCCCTTAGCCACATTATTCTCTTAGCCTCAGTCTCTTAGCCTCTAGCACAGTGCCAGGCACATAATGGACACTACATAAATATTTGCTGACCTGAACTGGACCTGCTGAACTGACCTGCTGAACAGTTCCCTGTAACTGTTCCAGTGAGTTTCTACTGCTCTCAATATACAATCCAGATCTGTTAATGTGGCTTTGATGACTTCAGTGATTTAGCGCTACCTCCCTGTCCATCCATATCTGGCCAATCCAGTCTTCCCATTCTTGCCCAGTGGTGTGCAGTGGTGCATCTCCCCACCCCCACCCCCTGCCACATTTCCACCAGCTTGTTGTGCTTTTCTAGAGTCACCATAACATATCATCACAAAGTGGGTGGCCTAAAACAACTACTGTAGTTCTCACACACAGTTCTGGAGGCCAGATGTCCAGAGCCAAAGTACTAGCAGGGCCATGCTCCTGTGAAGTATCTAGGGGGTTACCTTGCTTGCTCCTCGCAGCTTCTTGGTGGTTCCAGGCATTCCTTGGCTTGTGGCAACATCCCTCCATCTCTGCCTCCATCTTCATGAGACCATCTTTCCTCTGTGTGTGTCTTCACATGGTGTTCTCCTGCATTATGAAGACACCAGTCCTATCAGATTAGGGGCCCACCCTACTCTTGTATGATTTCATGCTGAGTGTAACTCTAACAACCCTCAGGTTGCTTGTTCCAAATAAGTTTACTGGGAGTTAAGATGTCAGCATATCTCTGCGGGACACAATTAAACCTATTAATACTGCACTTTCACCCCTTATCTCAATCTAGAATGCTGCCTTCTCTGCCACTCCCAACACACACACAAACTCACATACACACACACACACCCTGGCACCTGCTCATACCCCAACATCTGCCTGATAAATTGTGGTCATCTTTTGAAGTCTTAGATGCTGTCAAGGTGCTTCAAATTCTTCTGCATGACTGTCGCCATGTCACTGGGTAACAGAGGCTTAGGGTAGTTGTGATAGTAAGATACCTTGTTGCCTCGCATCAAAAATGTAATTGAGATTTGGGGTAAGAAGGATCATAGTTTACCAATTTGTATTTTGAGACTTAGGGATGTAACAATAATACTTTCTTGAATAACACTTGACTTCACTCCTAAATACAATGGTTGGTATTCAGATGGTCCTTTAGAAACCCAGAGAAATGTTCCAGGGTGATCCGATCCATTCTTCAAGACCAGCACCAGTGCTGCCTCCTCCAGGAAGCCATCTCTCCACCTGTGATCTCCCAAGTCCTTCCTCTGACCTCCCATGGGGTGCTGGTCCCCTTGCACCTCATCCTGTGGCTGCTCATGAGCAGGCCTCTTCCCCACACTTTGGGGGCAGGGATAGAAGTCTGGACATCTTGGTGCCCCGACAGCAGGGGTTCGCAAATGTGAACCTCAAGACCCCGCAGGGAGCCTCCTCTGAGCTGAGCCCTCTGCCAGGGCCAGGCTGGGAGTCTGCCCTGGAAGGCAGCTGGCTTCTGAACTTCTGCCCTGGGCCAGGAAAAGTTGGTGGGGGCCTGAGATGAGGGTGTGTGAGCAGCACGAGAGGACAGTGGCTCACAGCAGGTTTCCTTTCACGGCGCAGGTTCGTGTGTGCCCAGCTGCCCAACCCCGTGCTGGAGAGCATCAGTGTCATCGACACGCCGGGCATCCTCTCTGGGGAGAAGCAGAGGATCAGCCGAGGTAAGCGCAGCACCTGCCAGATTGGCTGTAGCTTCATACTACTTTCCTTTCAGTGTGTTCTCTTGCTGCCATATCCCAGGGCCTTGCTTCCTTTGACAAGCCAGCACTGCCTCATGCTGGGTTTCGGTCTGCTGCAGGAGACAGCTGGCCTCAGTCTTCTCACCTATAAAATGCAGACATCAGTGTCTGCCTTTCTTCCTCATTCACCAGCCAGACACTGCTTCTGAAGTCCCTGCAGTTCCCGGGGGGCTTGCTGTCCCCAGGGAGCAAACTTCAGTTCTGTGTATACTCCAGAGCATACAAGAGCAGCTGGGTATGTCAAAAGGCTTTGAAAACTGTTCACTGCAGACAGAGAATAGGTATTTGCTCAAGGGAGGTCCCAGCTGGTGGTTGGGAGAGAGAATGCTGGAGCCTGACTGCCAGGGTTCTGTGCTGCCTCTGCGCCTTCCTAGCAGAGCGAACGCTGCAGCATTCTTTGCTTTAGTTGGTTCATCTGTAAATAAGGAAAAATAATTCTACCTTCTTTATGAGGTTGTTTGAGGACTGAAAGAAATGGTAAAGGTAAAACACCTTCTTCCTAGCACATAGCAAGTGCCCAGCAAACATTAGTGTAATCCACCATCATCCTCATTTTTTTTTTTCTAGCACTGGAATGCTAGACTGATGCTATAAAAACTAAAAACCTGCTTCTGCCCCTGCCCCAGCCCTAGCCCAGCCTGCTGTGTGCCCTGGGAAGCCTCCCTACCCTCTGTGCCATGTGCTGTATCACTGGCAAAAAATGCAGATGGAACCATACCCGCCCCAATACTGGAGCTGGGGTAGAGCCAAATCAGCACTCAGATGTCAGCCTCCAGGAAGAAAAGGCTTTAGACTGGCAAGGGTTCTCTGGCTAGTGGCTGGGACTGTCACCTGAATGACCTTAGGTGCCTGCTTCCCTCCACATGCTCCTCAGCCCCAGTGCTCCGTGGCCCATGGGCTTCTGCTATATGGGTGGCGGGGGCGGGCAGAAAAATCCTCCATGAAGGGCATGGCCTGCACAGATTGGCATCCATTCACCCCCAAGCCCTGAGGGGAGCCCAAAGCCTCATAGGCGATAGGCCAGGGCTCCCAAGCGGGGTGCTGAGGGGCCCTGGGGCTGCAGGACTGGCCCAGGTGCAGGCCACTAGTGCCAGAATTGGGCCTCTGTCCAGAACCCCTGCCAGCTGCCTTGGCTTCTCTGAGAAGATTGCTTGTCTCTTGCAGATAGCTCTCTCATGAGGGCAAGCGGCAGGTGACAGAACAGACTGGGCTCTTTGGGGGCTGCTGGGGCTAGTATATGAGCCAGCCCTGGCTGGAGGTAGAGAGGAGGCGTGGCTGTGGGAGAGGCCCCCAGGTCAGCAGGCTGCTCAGGTCTGTCCTGCAGTCTGTTCTGAAGAGAAAACAGAACCTTCTCTTCCTGGGGTGAGCAGGGGTATGTGGATTTGAGCTGGAGGCTTCAGCAGGAAAGCCCTGACCCTTACTATCTCCCCTTTCGCTGAGGGAGAGACCTGGCAAGAAGAGGGGAGAGAAGGCAGGGAGGCAGGAGGGGCCTTGGGAGCTGTGTTAGCATTCCATGCAATTGGTGACCCACCCATGAAAGTGGGATGTCCGTGGAAGGTTCCATGTGAAGGGGGTCTGGGCAACCTGGGCCCCAGACTCCCTACCACTGGGCCCTTGGTGGTACAGGGGTTGAGGTTCTGCAACCATAGAACCCAAGGCCATGGGAATATAGGGATGTCGCCACCACTTCTCTCTTCAGCCTACCTCCCTTTGTAACTCCCCTACTGCCCTGTCCAGGGGTAGCCCCATGGAGGGGTAGCCTGGGTGGCTCTCTGCTTCCTTCTATTTGTTCCCTAACATCGGGGCTCATCCTGAGTGTGGGCCTACAGGGGATTTGCTGTTCCACAAGGGCAGCCTGTATCTCCTCAGGAAAGGTTCAGGAGAGCCAGAGCTTCCCAATCTGTTCTACCTGGAGGTGAAGGAGGTGGCACCTGTACCTGCGAGGCCGCTGCAGCCTGACAGGTCAGTCCAGATAGCTCCAGTCTCTGGGGTCCCAAGAACCCTGGGTGGGGAGCTCAGAGGCCTGGGCTGTAGATCCTGCGTGGATCTCAATAGGTCACTCTTTTTCCTTGAGCCTCCATGTGCCCAGGTATAGCAGGGGCAATGGTACCCATCACATGACTTTGTATGGTCCAACTTTGTACAGACCCCAACTCTAAGTCTTAATCACAGTCCATCTTTCACCCTTATCTGCCAGCCAGGCCCTCAAGAGCACCCCCAGACTAACTATGTGACTGACTATGTGAGTGGGCTTCTCGCAGTTGTGCAGTGCACAGCCCGTGCAGCTGTATGTGGCAACCCTGCCCCTGGGACTCCTGCCTTCCTTGGTCCCTGTCCCTTTCCATTCTTTGCCTGTTCCTCTGCCTTCTCTCCTCTTTCATCTTTGGACCTCAGACTGCCCTTTGCCATTTGGGTGCTTGGTTTTCTTGCTGCTCTTCCTATCCACCCTCCACCCCAACCTAAGCACCAGATCCCACCCCACTTCTGGAAGAAGCAATGGCCCCATGAGTGGCTACACAGATCAGTTTGTTCTCTGCTTTCCTGAGTCCAGACTAAATGCAGCTACTGTAAAAGCAGGCTGAGATAATAACCAGAGCTGGAAACTGGGCTGCCGGTATCGCATCACCTGCCTTGGCAGTGCTGACAACAGCCTTGCAAGGTGACCAGGGAAATTGGGAGAAGGGCATCAGACACTCTTAGCTATCAGATAAGTTTTCAGTATATGGTATCCAGTCCCTTCCCATCCTTCCTAATCAGCCATAGCACCTGCTAGTTGCAGTTTACACCTGTACACCGACATACACACACACACACACACACACACACACACCTCCCTCCACACACACCTCACTTCCAGGCATGGGTATGCACAGAAACACACACACTTCATGGCACCACTTCCTGGGGTTTTCCAGACTCTGGATCTGGCTGCAGCTCATATCTGGAGCTTCTCCCTTCCTCCAGACAGCCCAGGGCTGAGCAGAATCCCCATGGACAGTTCTGAGAACCATCCCCTCCCTGAGGCCACCTGGCTGAGGTAGAGCCTAAAATCCAGCCCACATCCAAGTCTGCCAGGCACAGGGCTGTGTCTGTGGGGGGCCCTGGGTACCATCTGAAAACCCAGCTGTTCCCAAGGGCTCTCCAGGCCTCAGAAGCTGTATGAGGCACACTCAGGCACCCAGGCCTGGGCAAAGCGTGGTCCTTGTTCGGGGTGTGGCCTCTCTGCCAGGACTTGGGGGTGGGAGTGTCTTGGGGGAAGAGGGAAGAGGTGGTGCAGGAGACATGCGGGAACCCGGACCTGGGAAGTTCCAGGCCTGTCTCTGGCTGCAGATGCACTGGGGTGGGCAACAGAGGGCCAGGGAGGCAGTTCCTGGAAGCGACAGGATGTCCCCAGCCCAGGGCTCATTACTGGGAAGGAGCAAGGATGCAGCAGAAGTGGGAGGGCTCCGGAAATCTGAGTGTCCTCACACTTGGGAACCACATTTCCTGCTGCTTCTCAGCTAGAAATGTCCACACACTCCACCCTGGAAAAGCAACCCCATGGGTGTGGTGTTCACAGCACTCCCAGTAGCCCCTTTCCTGTACAGGTGAGTCAGTGGGGCCAGGGCAGGTAGAACTTGGCCCAGGTCCCAACCCTAGAGATGGGCCTCTGGTCTCCTGTCTCCCAGCCCAGGGTCTTCCAGCCTGTTAGCGCCTGCCAGGAAGAGCTGGGGAGCAGGAACACAGGCAGACTCTCATCTATGAGTTTCCCCTGGGGCCCTGGAGGGTCTAGGCTGATCTTCACCACTCCCTACCCCTGGTCTGCCCCCGACACCTGCCTAGAGGGGCTGCACATACATGCCCACGTGGGCATCACTGGGCAGAGCAAGGGGGGCCTGACGCCCTTCCTGAGGCTCCCTGACACCCTCAAGGTCATCGGAGTCCTGTGACTCTGTGAGTCCACATTCAAGGTTACTTCTGCCAGGCATCTGGGATGGCCTTGGGTCACCAGTGTCATCTCAACTCTTCCCTACACTTTAGAAACAGCTGCCTTTTTATTTGCCAAAATGTCTTTACAACTTGAGTTGTTTTTTGTTTGTTTTTTTTTTTTTTTGGTGGGGGTTGGTGGCAAGGACTTGGACCTTTTAGATTCCACCACAAGTAAGTACCTAGTTTTAGGGCTCAATCCAGCTTGCTCACGACTCTGCGCTGTGAGGGGAGCGTGGGCTGGGGGTCAGTGGTCGGAGCTCTAGGCCTGTGTTTGCCACCACCTGGCCTTGTGAGCTGGGGCAGCCCCCCACCTCTCTGCTCCCTCTCCCATTCCTGAAAGATGTATGTGCCTCATTACCTCCCAGCATGTGGAGAATTATGAGGATCAAATGAGTTCGTGTGGCCGCCCGTTAGTGCCCCTATGATGCACGTCACCAAGAAGGAAGCCAGTGGGTAATGAAGGAGTCGTCTTGCTTATTGTGTTTGTCTCGTTGATTTCCTCCCGCCTGGCAATACTTAGAAATGCTTTCTTTCCAGCATTCTGGAGTCTGGGGAGGGGGAGTAAGGTGTGAGAGGGATTAAGGGGTGAAGGGGAGACAGCAGTGGAGAGGGCCCCAGATCTCTGTAGGCTGCCCAGAAGCCGGGCCTGGTGCCTGCAGAGCCAGCAAGCACAGTGAGCCACTGGGTCTCTGGGGGTTTGACTCCCCACCCCACCCCCTACTAGTCCATGAGCCCCTGGGCTCCTGCAGGTGCTCAAGACCTCTACCCTTCTGCTGTGGGTCTCAGCCATTCCTGGGACCAGTGAGGGAAGGGGGACTCTCCCTTGGTATCTCATCACTCCAGATGTTAGGACAGAGCCCCTGGACTGAGTCCAGGCCCTCCCTGCTCTGTGGGAGCCTGTTGTCAAGGCTCTACCACTGACATCTCACCAGACAGTCATTATTAACCCAATTCATTGCTGAGAAAACTAAGGCTCAGACTTGTCCAAGGCCACACAGAAAATAAATGAGAGAGCTAGTCCATTCCCTTTGCCTTAATATGTCCAGTCCATGCCTTTCAGATGCTCATGTTCCTGGATCCCCTTAAGCCCTTCCAGGAAACAATTAAATACCCCTGCTGGATTGGAGGCTGCTAGGCTCCCAATAGCCAGGAGCAGGGAGGCTGAGCTTCTGAGGAAACCTACGGTGTCATGGCTTAAAGTTCAAGGTCCTCACAGCCACCCCTGGGGAAGGAAGTATCTGGCATTACTGAGTTTTTCATTTGAAAGCAGTTTGCCAGAACCTGCAGAATTTGCAAAAGGATGACAGGAGGCCATTGTGCTTATAAAATCCTAGAAATGCTTCCCCAAGCCCTCAGGCAGGAGCAGACCTCACAGAGACATCATGGGGGCACTGAGGAGTTGAACACAGTGGCTGCCATTCTTCTTTCTGCCTTTCCTCCAAGGACTTACTGTGTCTAGCCTCCATCAGTCCTGCTGAACAACTCCCCCTCACACCTCCAGTCTTACAAGCAGGGAACTGATAAAGGGAGCTCAGAACTTGGCCAATCCGTCCTCCCCAGCTTGACAGACAAAGAGATCAAGGACCAGAGACAGAAGTCTGCTTGCCCAAGGACACACCGCAAGTTAATAAGAGAACAGAAAACTAGAGGTGGGCTTGCCCAGGCCAGCGCTCCCTGAGTGACCCTCGGGAGCACATCCATCTATGGAAACTGGGATTTGGAAGGTCATGAGTCTCAAGGTCACACAAATGGTTTCACTGTGTCTTCTTTGATTGGATCCTCACAGAGACCCTTTGGCAGGGTCTGGTGGGTTCCAATTTGGAGACCAGAAAACTGGGACCCAGAAAGGACTTACTGTGCTCTACATGTAAAAGGGAAAAAGGGGTAAATTTCAATTCTGCTTGCAAATACTGATATAGCACCTACTGTGTGTCAGGCACGGTGCTGGGGGCAGGGGACTAGGGAGAAGGACAAGCTTGGCCCCTGCCCTGCCCAGGTCTGGCTACAGTGGGGAGGGGGGATCCTCATCCTGGCATTTCCATGGGTCAGCAGAGGGACAGGCCTAAGTACTGGAGAGTAGGAGGGGCATATGACCCAGCGGAAATCCCCTGTTCTGGAAGCACCCACCCCACCCCCAGGTGGGGGCAGAGGGGTAATCAAATTTGCCCCTGCCCTCCACCAAACCTTTCAGTCCAACCTCCTCTTTCCATCAAGGACCAGAGGACAGTTGGAGGGGCCAGAGCCTCTTCTCTGCAACCTTTCTGCCCCTTTGCTTCCCCTGCCACAGGGAGGGCTGGCTAGAGCGTGCACCTTGGGGTTGGAAGACCAGGAAGCTCTGAGTTCAGACCCTGGCTCCGACCCCTACTGCTACATGGCCCTGGACATGCCCCTTCCCTGTCTGAGCCTCCATGTCCCAGACAGTCAAGTGCCCAGTGCCAGCTGCCTAGCTGAGAGGAGTGTGTGTATGTGTGTGTGTGTGTGTGTGTGTGTGTGTGTGTGTACACACAAGCACACATGCAAGATCTCTGGGAGCTGAAATTCACAGTGACCAGGTGGGAGGGAGCAGCAACCTGCCTTCCCAGCTGCCCTACCCCATGTGGCCTGCAAGGTTGCTCAAGCCAGATTTGAGAATAGGTCTCAGCACTGTCTGAGGCCTCTGAGGCCTGCTGCCCTCACTCCCACTGCTGAGAGCAAGCTTGCTCGTTCCAGGCACAGAGCAGCTGTTGTGACCTGCTTTCCATAGTGGGGGTTGGGCAGGGGATCAGCTTGCCCTGATTTTCTGAGCCTTTGGGCCCCTTCCTGCCCACTGCTCTGAGGGACCACCTTTCTGAGGTGAGGCCCTCCTAGAGCTGTGCTGAAGGGAAAATTTAAAATAGCCTGGGGCCATCTCTGGAGGAGGGAAGAAGAGCCCACCTGGGGCAGGAATGCATGAGTCTCAGAGCTCTGGAAGCTGCTGGCTGGGCCTGAGAGCCAGGGAGGGGAGAGGATGGAGGAGAGCAGTGAGAGCGGTAAGGAAGGTAGCAGGTGCAGGAAGGCTGCCAGAGGAGCGTGTGCAGAGGGCCCAGGGCCCAAACACCAAGTCCAGTCTTCACCACACACCTAGCCAGCTGATGCTCCTCATCATACCTGCTTCGCAGGATGCAATAAGGGTAAAATGAAGTCCAAACATAAGTTGAGTCAGGAACTCTGGGATTATGGCCCAGCCAATTGGCTTTTAACAAGCCCACTGGGAGATTCCGATACAGGTTCAAGTTAAGGACAACTGTTATGGATATTACAGACAATCAGAGCCTCTTAAGTCCAACTCATTTGTGTGAGGTTTGCTAGTGCCCTTGCCCTGGTTGCTAGCATCCCCCTGAGAGGCAGGGCACGAACTGCTGGATCCTCCTGATGCCTTGGTTTCCCACTGAACGGGGGCAACTAGCCTCAGGGCCTCAGGGTAATCCCCTTGTGGTGCTGGGAGCCAGGCAAGGCCTACCTCCAGACTAGAGATATTCCATGGAGGAATGGCAGACAGAGGACCTGGTACTTATGTTCTCATCCCAGAGCTGTGTTCTCAAGGTCTGTGTGTTTTCAAGCAAGTCACTTTACCTCCCCGAGCCTTGCTTCCTTTATCTGTGTTCCTATTTTATGGAAGATACTGGCACCTAGACAGGTGAAGTTAAATATTCAGACTGTTGGCATGACCTCCCTCTTGAGCACCTCCCAGATCTATGCTTACTTGAGGTTTAGCAGAACAGGTGTTCTAGGGCTCCTGGAACTAGCCTGACCTGACACTGCTCAGTGCCAGGTGACCAAGGTCTGCAACCAGAGTCTGTCACATCCAAAGGGATAAACCCCTGTGGTTTAAGAATTGGGGAATTGGGGCTACAGATGACCAGTAAGGAAAAAAGTGAGCTCTTGAGGAGGTGTGAGAACAAATCATGTGTTATTATAATAAGAACCTCAGCTTTCTTCCAGACTAGTAATGAACATGGCTGAGCCATCAATGGCTTACATTTAGCTGTTTTGTTGTTTGCAAAAAATTTCTGGGTCTTCATTCAAAATGTATCTAGAGTCTTTTTTTTTTTTTTTTTTTCAAAAGGACTTGGCTATTAACTATAATAAGCAAGGCTAAGGGAGCTGTATAGTGGGTGTGCTTTATGGGAATAAAGATGCTAATTATAATAACTAGCATTTACTGAGCAGCTACTATGTGCTACCTTCCAAGTTTCTTAGTTTTTATCATTCTATTAATTAGGTACTGTTATTATGTCCATTTATAGATGAAAAACTGTTTATTTGAAGATATTGAGTAACTTGCTCACAGCCAAAAAGTGAAAATGAAGGAGCTGGGATCTAACTCCCAAGACCATATGATCTCTACTGCACCTAGCTGCCTCTCCCGAAACCCTTACTCTGTGCCCCAAAGGCCCCTCCCTTGACTGTCCCTCTCCACAGGGTATGACTTTGCGGCTGTCCTCGAGTGGTTCGCCGAGCGGGTGGACCGCATCATCCTGCTCTTTGATGCCCACAAGCTGGACATCTCCGACGAGTTCTCAGAAGTCATCAAGGCCCTCAAGAACCATGAGGACAAGATGAGGGTTGTGCTCAACAAGGCCGACCAGATCGAGACGCAGCAGCTGATGCGGGTGTATGGGGCCCTCATGTGGTCCCTGGGGAAGATCGTGAACACCCCAGAGGTGATCCGAGTCTATATTGGCTCCTTCTGGTCTCACCCCCTTCTCATCCCTGACAACCGGAAGCTCTTTGAGGCTGAGGAGCAGGACCTGTTCAGAGACATCCAGAGCCTGCCCCGAAATGCTGCCCTGCGGAAGCTCAACGACCTCATCAAGAGAGCCAGACTGGCCAAGGTAAGGCTACCTCCGGGTAGATGGACACCCTGGGTGGGGTCACAGTTGGGGAAGGGTCAGCTCCAGAGCTAAGATGACAGCCCAGCAGGAAAGACAGGCCCAGATCATCTCTCAGCCTTCTGATTCTGGGTTGAGTTTCCATCTGCAGCCCTCCTCGCTATTGCCTGCCCACATGAGAATTTTCTGTGGCTACTGTCTCACGAAGGTCCTCCTTGCCAACTCTGGGACTGGGGACAGGATTATGTGGTGGTGTTGAGCACAGGCCCTGACATCAGATGGCCAGGTTGGAGCCTGGCTCTTCCATTTGCTAACTGTTTGATCCCCAACCCCAGCCAGGCCCTTAGTCTCACTGTCTGTTTCCTCATCTATAAAAGGTTGGATGATAAAGTAGGATGAAAGTAAAAAGCCTCATCATAGTGCCCGACATCTTCTGAAGTGCTCGGAAATGTCAGCTGTTGTTACTGTCCCCCTATCATCATCAACACCATGCCAACATTACCATCTCTATTATTGCTTTGACCACAATGGCTCTGCAATCTCACCTTTCCTGTGTGATCTAGAAAAATAGCTTAGCACTGCAAGTAACATGAGAGCTGGAGAGTGGAAGTAGACATTGAGTCAGAAGGAGGAGCAGGAGGAGGGGAGAGATGGGGAGAGATGGGTACGAGCCACCCTAAAAGACAGGAATGAATCATGGGTCTAGATCCAAAGGTTTCTCTGCCCCTATTTCTCAGGTCCACGCCTACATCATCAGTTCTCTGAAGAAGGAGATGCCCTCCGTTTTTGGAAAGGATAACAAGAAGAAGGAGCTGGTGAACAATCTGGCTGAGATTTATGGCCGGATTGAGCGGGAGCACCAGATCTCACCCGGGGACTTTCCCAACCTGAAGAGGATGCAGGTAAGCAGGGTCTAGGACTCCAGGACAAAAGACTCCAAGTAGCCAAGCAGTTTGAACATGGCGGAGTCCACCTGGGATGCCCGTGTTGAAAACTCAACCCAGAATCAGAAGGCAAGGAACTGGCCTGGGTCTGCCCTTCCAGCCAGGCTGTCGCTGGTCCCACAGGTGCCATATTTGGGCCTGGGAAGAACACAGAGTCCCAGTGCTCCCTTAGGAGAGGTGTTACGTGATATTTGGGGGTCTGATACCTCCAGTTTTTGACCATCCCCAGTTACAGCCACCATGAGGCTTGGAATTCCCACCATGTCACATAAAATGGGACAAGTTGCCTGACAAAGGCCTTTCAGGGCTTACGTTTGCCTCTCGATTCCCCCTTGGGAGCAGCTTGGGACACAGCCACAGAGAAGTCCATGCAGGAGCTTGCCATCTCGGGCGCGCACTGAGGGACCTTCTCTTGGATTAGGATCCACTCCTGTGGTTTCTCATGTTATTCCCCAAAGGCATCCTCTGAGGGAGGCCTTGTCCTCCTGTACAGATGAGGAAACCAAAGTTTACAAGGCAGCTAACGAACCTACCTATGGTTTTCTTAGTGCAATGTTCACATGGGCCGTGGGTAGGAAAGCCAGGAGCTCTGCCCAAGGTCCTAGCAAGAATGCGCTATATCATGCTAACTGGATCCTCTCTGAACCCATCTCGTCTTCTCTAAACGGAGGCTGCCAAAGCACACGCTTTGCAAGGATGTTGTTATGTCATTAGGATGAGGTAATATTTGAAGGCACAGCCTGACTCAGCCATACACATATAGCAATCCAGTCACCATGCAGAAGCTGTGTGATGAACACAAGGGATCTACCTCCTGTACAATTTTCTAACTACTTGTGATTCTTTAGTTATTTCAAAATACAAGTGTTGTGATTTTGTTTTTAAATAAGGGAGTCAAAGACAAAAAATAGCAGCACACGTGGTCGTGATACTCTTGCTGATGTAGCAGTTTCTCAGGTGAAGATGAGAGTTTCAGAACCTCGCTATAGTCCCAAATAGACATTTTAAGTTTCTTATATGATAAAAGAAAAAGGAAAATATACAGGCATTTAAAATCTGCATTTTTCATGTAGCCATTCATTCCTGTAAGCACTTACCAAGAGCCGTCAGTCATTTCAGAACTGCTTCAGTGCAGTTTGGGCTTCTCAGTCAGCCTGACCTGAAGCTCCTCAACTTTGAGTTCCACCTGTAAGCAAACATTTGGAAAGAGGACAGTTGAAATGAAACATTCACCCCCTTTTTAAGGTGAGGGATCCTTTTGCAACATAAAAACATTTCACCTTCTCATTCATTGGTTTACCAGTGCGACGTTTGGGTCTGTTTTGGGTGTGCCAAACAAATCGTGTACATGGTGTCTTATGAGTAGGGGTTGGGGGGAAGCATATGTGTACAGAGATGGGAGCACCCACCAGGCCCCCTGGAAGATAGTGGCACTCCTTGTTGGAAGCCCACCAAACGCAGCTAGATGTGAGCGGGCAGACAGAAGAGGGAGGAGTAGAAAGGGCCTGACTGCTCTCCACACTCTCCCACATTCCTCCCTGCCCTGGAAGGGAGGCGAGAAATGTCCAAGCTAATACTTGCTCTTGACATGTAGCTGTGGGTGTTTTCTGAAGTTTTCATCAATGAGCTGCATGTCCCTGAGGCCAGCTCCTGTGTACTGGCCTCTGCCCAGGGTCCTAACATTGCTATGGCCAAAGCCAGTCACCCCTATAATTCACCCCTGTCACTCTAGAGGCCCACGAGAAGCTGGATGTTCTAGACTCAGAATCTTTTAAAATCACAAAGACATGCAAAATGGAGCACATTTCTTTTACCAAGTGGGGTGGGTGTCAGGAAGGCAAGGAGGGCGGCTTTCACAAAATCGACACGCCTGTTCGTGTCTACCACACCAGAACCCTTGGTGGGAGAAGCTGATACTTGAAAATTCACTGCAGGTTAATTCCCATAAGCATCCTGACAAAGAACCCCTGGTTGGAGAGAACCGTTAGCCTCTGTTATGACTTGCTTTTTGTTGCCTGTGCCTCAGTGATTCCTTTCCTAAATGAGAGGCTGTGATTCACCTCTCAGAGGGGCCCTGGGAGTGAGTAGGGTCATTAATGCCATCAAAACTCCTTCCACATTTCCATCCTTATTGATGTTGAGACCTCCATGGCCAGTCCCAGGGAGGTGGAACATTCCAGAACCACCATTCAACAGCCACAAAGAATTTAAAGAGAAGTTTCTAGAACAACATTAAAGGAAATCCAAATAAATGGATCATTTGTTCAATCCCCTTCCTTCTCTGGCCCCTTCCACTGTTCTCTCTCCTGACAACTTCCACCATCACCCAATGTGCCTTTTCCTCCCCTTTTCTTACATCTTTTATTATTTTGTGTGTGGCTCTTAGCCTCCAGGCCCAGGGCTGCGAGCACTCCAGTGTCAGTAGAAGGCAGCTTCCTTCACCAGGTGCAGGAGCTCCTTCCACTGTCTGCTGTCCTCAGCCTCTTTTCCCTCCTTCTTCCCAGGACCAGCTGCAGGCCCAGGACTTCAGCAAATTCCAGCCACTGAAAAGCAAGCTGCTGGAGGTGGTGGACGACATGCTGGCCCATGACATCGCCCAGCTCATGGTGCTAGTGCGGCAGGAGGAGATACAGCGGCCCGTGCAGATGGTCAAGGGCGGCGCCTTCGAGGGCACCCTGCAGGGCCCCTTCGGGCACGGCTACGGGGAGGGGGCGGGGGAGGGCATCGATGACGCCGAGTGGGTGGTGGCCAGGGACAAGCCCATGTACGATGAGATCTTCTACACCCTCTCGCCGGTGGATGGCAAGATCACGGGCGCCAATGCCAAGAAGGAGATGGTGCGTTCCAAGCTGCCCAACAGCGTGCTGGGCAAGATCTGGAAGCTGGCGGACATCGACAAGGACGGAATGCTGGACGACGAGGAGTTTGCGCTGGCCAATCACCTCATCAAGGTCAAGCTGGAGGGACACGAGCTGCCCAATGAGCTGCCCGCCCACCTCCTGCCCCCCTCCAAGAGGAAAGTGGCCGAGTGATGGGGGGTGGGAGGGGAGGGGGCACCGAGCAGGAAGGAGTTAGAGGGGTGGGGAGAGGCAGTGAAACACACTCGCACACACTCACATACACACGCACACAGATCTTAAGAATCGCACTGCAGCTGAGGGGACAGTGAGCCCCCAGCATTCCAGGCTGCTCTTTGTTTGGACACATCCGCAAGTTCTCAGCATTGGTAGAAGCACACGAGCACTCCCGGCCCAGGTTTCAAGCCCAGGTCTCACCCCTGTCTCCCTCCCATCCCCTGCTACCCAGAGACTTGCCTTCTCCCTCAGAGGAGGCTGTGCACAGGCCGCAGATGGTCCACCCACCCCAGCTCCCCTAGTGGCTCTGAATCTGAGCAGATGGAAAGGCTTTTCACTTAATAAGCAATTCCCCTTGTTTTCTGTGCTTTGGCTTCCCAATGTGAGATCTGGTCCAGGACTAAGAGATGTGAGGGAAGGGGGCAGCTACAGGGAGGGGAGGGCAAAGCCAAATTCTCTGGGGGAACCGGACCTCATACTTGAAGAGACATGGATGCTGAGCTCTGGGCTGTCAACCTTGGACTTTGTCTTCCTGCGCAAGCCTGGCTTTGAACTCAGCGGGCACTTCATTTCAGAGAATCGCAGAACCAGGGAGAAAAGAGAATCTTTCTGCGGGAAAGAAAGCAAAGAAACTGCTCTCCTCTCCTCAAAGTCATCAGGGTGGTTTCATTGCACATTTTCTGAGATTCATGTTTTTCTACCTGGCCTCTGGTGTTCATGCTCATTCTCCATTCACTTTTACCAGCCACTCCTGTGTCCGGCACATTATATATGTCGTCCCACATGGCCCTCAAGATCAACCCCCACGGAAGTATGCACAGCTCTCCCGCCTCCCATTTTGCAGACAAGCAGACTGACACTCAGAGGAGTTTAGGTGACCTTCTCAAAGTCACGGAGGTCACCTGTGATGGACGGGGACTCAGTGCAGGGCCTCAGGTGTGCAGTTTCCCCGGGGCATCAACCCCGCCCCCCCACCCCCTCCCAAAGCCGGCTGGCCAGGGGAAGGGTGGTCAGCATTGGATGGGCCAGCATCTGTCACATCACAGAAGCAACCAGTGCCTTCTGGCTCTGTGCCCTGTGTTCCCAAGCCACAGAAGTCTGGCACCCCAGCGGAGAGTGGGCCGGCCTGCTGGATGTTGTTCGTGCCTGTCCCTGCTCCGCCTCCCCTCCAGTAGCTTGACTCATCCTAGCTCGGTGTCAGCCACTGACTCCTACAAGCGAGACCTCGTGCTTATTCTCAGAAGGCCAACCAGAGAGGTGTGAGGTGGGGTTTCCTGCAGGCCCCCCTGTGACTCTGCAGTGTCCCTGGAGAATCCCTACACTCAGAGCCCTGCCCCTTGGCTTGCTTCATGGCCCCTGGCCCAGTCACTTTCTTTGCTATGCCCCAACTGTGGTGGAAAACAAAATCAAGTATAACTTATTTTATATCTATGGTCAGACTATAGAGAATATTCTATGTATCTCTGATGTGCTTACTACTGCAGAGCGTTCGTCACTAGTATTCATGTTAATACAGCGCATTTATCCTTTGGTACCTGCTTGGCCACAGAATCTCATTTCCTGGAGGCTGAGTGAGAGGGGCTGGTTGTTACCTGGGGATCCGGGTGGTGTCCTGGCAGCAGATGGAGCCGCCCATAAGCAGTGTCCATGTGCAGCATCATCTGGCCCAGTGATTGCCCAGGCTGACCCGCCACTCTGGCATAGAGGTGGTCCCCAAACTTTTGGGCTGCCCTCTGCATCCACACTTCTCTTTCACGTACAATGAGGGGCAAGGCAATGAGGTCTAATCTCTAATTCCTGACTGCCAAGGCCACCTATCTGTGAGCTGGAGGAGCTGGGACGGGGACAGCAGAAGGAGGCAGTGTCTGTATTTTAGAAGAAAGGGCCATGTCGGAGTCCCCTCTCCCCCACCACTTGGACACAATCTCTACCTTCCTCCTCTCTACCTCTCCCACCGCTTCCTCCTCCAGACCACATCCAGAGCAGATCTGTAAGCATGGGTGTTCCAGGCCAGCTCTCTCCCCACCTCCGGGGAAGAGGAAATGAGATACCTCTCCAAGGGGCAGCAGGCAATTAAGGGACACTTCTATGGGGCTGGGGTTTCCTACAGGCCCCCCTGTGACTCTGCAGTGTCCTTGGAGAATCCCTACAACTCAGCGCCCTTACCCTTAGCTTGCTTCATGGCCCCTGGCCCAGCTCTGACTGCAGCTGCCTCAGACTACTGATCTGCAGTCTTCAGGGATCTGGGGTATCCCATGCCTCAGCCTGGGGACCATTTATGGAAATCAGACATGTCAGAGAAGGTGAGCAGGCAAGGCTTCCTAGACACCCACTGTCCTGTTGAGTGACAGACTTCCCCACCCTCAGCCTGGGCCATGGAAATCACCAGGTGGGAAGTACAACACTGCACCTCTGGCCAGGGAAGCTTGTCCCTGGTGCCTAGAAACTATAGCATAAGCAAAGGTAGTCTTATGCAGGGGCCCTGTTGGCCCACCCACTCACCCATCCACCATCCATCCATCCATCCTTTCTTTTACTCAGAAGATACTGAGAATCTACAGAAAAGGCCCTAGGTGGCAACAGACTTTCATTCATTGTGCCATTCAAAATTACTTAATAAATACTTTTTGGGGCAAGTCCATATAGACTGATGAAATCAAGTTCTGGCTCTCAAAGAGCTCACAGCCTAGCTGGGCATTGAGGCATTTATACAAACATTTATAATATAATAAGGGGCCCAAAACAGGCACAGCAGGGGTTCGTGAAAGGCAGAAATGGCTTCCAGTAGGGGAGAGGGTCAGGGTGGATGCTTGAGCTTAGCCAGAGAAACCCAGGTCTGCCCCTTGTGCCTATGGTCTTCCTCCCCAGTCCAAGAAAGAGAGATGGGATTTTTATGCAAAAGTAAATGCACAGCCTCCGCAGCCCATAAAATCCTGATAAACCAAGAAGCACTGATGTATTCAAGAAAGGCATGATCAGAATTTTTGTCTCTGGGGACTGTGCTGGTTTTTCACAGGCCATTCTTAGTAAAATTTTTTATCAGTGTCTAAAGTTGAAATTTTTAGTTTCCCAAGGAAGAGAAAAACGGTGAGCGGGGAATGTAAATTATCCCAGCTGCGTGATGAGGGCCCTGGTGGTGTAGGGAACTCAGCTCTCCCTCTCCCTGCCCCTGGACCACTGGAGGTCACCAGGACTGTCCACCAAGTTTGATTTTCTGGTCCTTCTGGCACAGGTGAAGGCCGAACTTTCTACCCGCTGATGTTGGACAAGGACATGACTTACTTGGGCTAGTGAAACATGAGTGGTAGCACCTAGTCCCTTCCCTGCAGAAACAAGTGTGTCATTAGTCACATTCTACATTTCCCCCCTTGCTGGGCCTGCCTGTGTGAGCAAGTGTGAAGGAAGAGGTTTGGTCAGCCCAAGTCCCTGAAACACTGAAATCCCCACCAGACTGCACTGAACAGTTGGCATGAACAAGATATAAATCCTAGTTACTTTAATGTTATGGGCTATTAGTTACCCAGCATGAACTATCCTGAGACCCTCATGAGCAACACACCTGGCAGGTTCCTACAATACTTGTCTGCTGAGCAAGTGTCACGGGGAGGAAGTTGCCGAGGAGACTGAGTTCCTAGCTTTTCGTACACCAAGATCACCTGAAGCTGAAGGTGTGGGTGATGTGCACAAAGCCATTTAGTGTCTCAACCATCTCCTGCAATGTCCCAGACCCCAACTGTTCAACCTCACTTTTTTGTAATTGCAATAAAATACATATGACATAAAAGTTCCCATCTTAGCCATTTTTGAGTGCAAAGTTCAGTGGTATGAAATACCTTCTAATTATTGTAGACAACACTTTTTAAGTTGAAGAAGTTTGCACTCATGGAGTCCAACAGTGCTAGGACGTGTCTTCCATCATCAACACTGGGAAGAAACTAGGCGTGTGTATACCCGGAGCTAAACAGAGGGTGTATGGGTTGGAAAGAGAGAAAACAGGAATCCCAGACTCCCTTGAAGCCAGGTTTAGGATGTGATGTGATTTTAGGTTCTGCCAACAGGACATCTTACCCCTAGTGTTATAGTCAGTGATTAGTTTTTTTTTTTTTTCATTTACTTATTTGTTCGTTTGTTTTGTCTATATAAGCACTGGGTACAGTCAGAAGTGCAGGAGGGTGAGAGAATTCACCAGAGCCAGAGCGGGGAGCAGAGCAGGCAGACTGACGAAGTACACTGCTGAGGGGAGCAGCGGGCGGCAGGAGAGGTCTGCGCGCCATGCGGGACCCTCCTCCGGTGGCCGGGGAGCAGCCGGGAATCGAACTGGCACTGCAGAGGCTGCGGGCAGCTTCACAACTCAGCGCTCAACCGCTACGCCACCGGGGAGGCCCAGTGATTAGTTATTAACAATAAATCAGCCTAATATGCTCATGGGGCATTTGCTGAAGCAGATCACACCAGAGGCAGACCCAGCAGGTATAACAGCACCATCCTAGCTTTTTGACTTTCTCTCTAAGCTTAAGAAGCTGGAGGCCTTGCCTGTGTGGTGGGTGGAGCAGAACCTGTGCTAGTGGGCAGCCCTGGAAGTGACCACATGTTTCTGAGTGCCCACAAAACCAGGGCGCTCAGCACTGCTGAGGCATGCAGAGCAACCCGGGTGCAGCAGGGGCTTCCTGGAGGGAGGGAGGGTGTGTGTGTGTGTGTGTGTGTGTGTGTGTGTGTGTAGGAGACACTGAAGCCATTCTTGCTGGGTAAGTGAAGAGGGAGAGCTTTCCAGAGAGAATGATGGCTGGGGAATTTTCAAAGTAATAATTCCTTTCTAGGAATCCAGAGCATACGTCTGTACACTTAGACCACTTGAGACCATAAAATAAGGAAATGTTAAATACAGCAGTTCTAGTACCTTCTTTAGCGTTTCCTAAAAGGTGGCTCTCCTCCTCCCCCGCCCTCCTCCTCACCAGGCAGCCCCTCTGCAGGACAGCTTGCCCTCTGGATCATATCTTCACCCTAAATGCCTCCGGGGCTTCCTTGGTCAGATGAGGCAATTCTCCTCATTCCAGAAAATCCTCTTCCTAGGGATCAGACCCTGGCATGAAACTGGAGAGTCCACTGCATGGAAGTCAGCTGATGCTTCTCACCCCGAGCAGAGTAACTGTCCAGCTGAGCATCTGCAGCTTGTCCTCCTGATGACCTGACGTGTTCAAGGCCACAGGAAGTGAGGCCTGAGATAACGGTAGCCCTGAACTCAGCAGTGACATTTCCTGAAATTTCTCAAGATGAAGAGAAAATAAGCAAGTGGGCTCTGAGCTTCACCCCTTGACCATGTGTCACTCCTCAGCCCCAGGGATTGGCTTAGTCTCCCGTTGGCATCCAGGCCTGGGTAAAAGAAGTCCACAAGCCACACCAACCTACCTTGACCGGGTAATAACAAAAACCCTCAAGCTAAGATTTCCAACCCCCAACTTAAATACTCCACCCAAGCAAATGTAATGCCTCTACCATCATCCCCTCCATCTGCAAATCCCTAAGACTTTGGGGGTCTCCCTTCTGCTGTCACCATATAACATTGTCATTCACACGCTTGTTGAATTCTGCCATCTGGATAACAAGTTCCCTAAGGGCACAGAATGTACTCAGCGCAGAGCTGGACTGGACGCTGAAGGCCTGGCCCCTTGCCTCAACCTGGAACTCTTGTGAAGGATCCGCCCAGCTCCAGGGCTCAGCTGAGCTCTGCTGGGTGCATTGCAGCCAACTGCTCCCTCCGCCTACTCAGGCCTTCCCCTCCACAAGTATTAACCCTACAGCTGTCTCTAATAAACTTCCTGCATGCTAAACTCCACCTCTGAGGCTGCTTCCCAGGAAGCCCAACGCTCCGTAGAGGACCTGGCCAGTGAGCGCTGCTAGGTGAAAAGTCACTGGCAAAACTGGCAGCCTGTGGGGTCCAGGTTAGTTGATGAGACAGACGGGAGCAGTGACCTGGCCATGTAAGTGCCACATGGCTCAGCCCCTTCTTGGCAGCTTCACTATACTTCCTAGCAAAGCCCCAGTGATAGGATGAGATATTTTTTTGCTGTTGCAGATTTGGAGGATATAAAAGAAGATCAGCGGGTGACAAAGAACCAGGGCAACAAAAGAAGGTCTGATGGGGTCAGGGGACCCACAGCTGGTGTCCACATCCAAGTGGCCATGCACTGGTCACGGCTGCCAGGAACCCTGAAGGACCCTGCTGTCTAGAGAGCAGAACAGGCAAGCAGTGCCCCTCATGGAATGAGCTTCCTAAAACCTATTCATGACTGTGTCTAGCCTACGTTATAGAAATGCAGAATTCCAGACCCCGGAAATCATGTCCACCCAGCCTGAGACACCCACCTGGGTTCTGTCCTCCTGTGACTGTTCCTGGACAGCCTTATGTCCACACCCACCTTCTGGACACAGCCTCTTCCAGTGATAGCTATCTAGTTACTGCACCACTGTGCCTCATGCACCTCTACAAAGACTTGCACCTGTAAACATATTAGAGCCATTCTAACATGAGTCAGTCCCCAGAGAATATACAACACTAAGACTGAACCCCAGTGTGGCTGTGAGTGATAATGACATGTCAGGGAGGCTCATCCATGGTAACAAATGGACCACTTTGGAGCTGGAGTTTGATCGGGGTAAGGGAGGGGCAGGGTTTCACTGGGGAGTCTGTATGTCCTCTTAACTTTGCTGTGAATCAAAAAATCTAAAAATAAATCTTTTTAATTAGAAAATAGATCAAGGCACTCTCTGAATACACGAAGCTCTGCATCTGTACGCAGCCAGAAAGGAAGTGTCATCAGCACAAGCTCAGGGGTCGCTGGCTTGGGCCTTCTGGCTCCTTCTGTCTTTTCTCTTTTAGACAAAATGAAATCAATGAGCACAGGGCATTACGAAGGGTTGTTCTGAGTTGGAGACCAGATCTACAGTTTCCTCATCTTTATAACTGTAGCTCATCTGGGAGCACTTGGTTTCCCTTGTCCCCAAATCCCCTTCTCAAGCCCCCATTTCAGTTCTCTTGTTGAGGGTCTCCCTCCTACCATAGCCAAGCTTTAAGATCATCATGTCCCATCATTTCCCTCTGTTGCTGGGTTCACTTGATCCACACATGGAAAAAATATAACCCAGATGACTTATTGTTGAAAGAAAAGCAGATAAGCCACAAGAAGGGAAAGAAGGTTTTTTTCTTTGCAGCTCAGGAAATGCAAGTCTTTAGATAAGTCTTAAAAAATGAACTCTTTCATTTTCTTCCAATGCAAAAATAAAATCTCCCTTGAAAACCAAATGTGTCATACGTGTGTGTCCTAAGCCATTGTCACTTTTTTAATAAAACATGGATGGAGAGGGGGGAAATGATCCATTTCAGCCTACCTCCTTCCCTGTGAATATTAATTAAACCAGGATGAAAGGTAAGATAATCCATCCACTGCCCTTCCCCCAGCTCTTCCTATCGCCTGCAAAGGTTTCTTACAAAGTTATTTCAGTTATTGTGGTTTCTGGCCTTAATCCAATGTTTTTGTCAAAGCATATCTTGGGAGCAATGAAGTGTCTCTAGGGTTTTAGCATCCGTGTGTGTGTATGTGTGTGTGTGTGTGTTCTTGTGTATTTGTTGATACCTGGTTTTGTGCTGTTTCTCCAGTGGTGTTTAATTGTGGAGTGTATGGAATGTACCTGAGAACAATTTTGCAAAACCCCATACCCAAACTTTCCTATCAAGTTTCTCTTAAGCTGCTCCAGCTTTGCAAAGTTGACCTTGAAAAGTGCCTCCAGCAGAGCAATTTGAAGATTTGGGGAAGGCTTACATATTATCACACAGTCAGCTCTTTCAGCCATCAAGCCCATGGCTAGCACCTCTGGCATATCACCTGGGCAGGTAACTGAGCACCCCTTTGAATCACATTTGTAAAATGCAGCTAATTAAATGCACTGTAATGAGAATGAAATGAGACATTGTCTAAAATGACCTAGCACAGAAGAGGCACCTTCCTCTACCTTCCCCTGGCACATGGGTGAAGGCCGTGGACATCCCTCCTCCTGGGGCTGCCTGCTGACACACTTCTACAGAAGGCAGCTAGGGATCGAGCCCACTTGGCGTCACTGCTCCCCCTTTCAGCCCTGGCCACAAGTCCAATTGGCCTCCCCCTTGATTGTACCCACATATTCAGTGCCTAATAAGATGCGACCTGGCTCCCTATTACTGGTTTCAGGTGCCTTTGTTTTGTCTACCTGTGAAACTCTCAGCTACAGGGGGGGCAGGCTTGAGTTCCCCATCCCTGTTGTTTCCTCCCAGAGTCCACCCATCAACTAACCACAGGCGAGCTCCTGGCACTGGGTGCATTGGCACATCGGCCCAGGCCAGTGAGTGGGGTCCCTGAAGGGCAGCCGCCAGCCTCGCACAACTGGGTGGGTTGCAGCCCAGGCGAGGAGCCTGAGGCTCAGCCTGGGGATCAGAGGAGATTCTCCAGCACCCCATACCCAAAGCGTGTGCTCCTCTGTCCTCTGAAATTGAGGCATAAAGTGGTGACAAGGACAAACTTTGGAAAGCAAATGATGGCAACTGTTTACCTTTAAGACTCCTTTCCCACCTGGGGCTCCCCTATGCACACTAGACCCCCAGAGACCTCATAAACCTCAACTTCTGTGACCATCACTTACTTTCAGATCGGTTGTGAAATTTACCTCTGTGAGTACTAAAGCCTTCAGTTTTGTATTCCAGAAACTTAGTATCTCTGGGACACTTCTGCCTTGTGCAGGAGATGAAGGCATCCAGCAGGACATGCTTACTCTAGCAAGTCAGCAGTTTCAAGTGGAAACCCCAAATCTACCAGGTGTAGCCTTGGGTGACTGAACATCAGTTTCTTCTCCTGTACTATAAAGGTAATCATGCCTCTACTACCAGAACTTGTATGAGGATTGAGGTTACTGATGATTGCTGCCATGTGCTACTTACTGCATACCAGGCTGGTCTCCTTACTGACATTTCATTTAGACCCCAGCAAAAGGACCCCTCTAAGGTAAGAGCTGTTGACAGATGAGAAACTTAAAAGAGTTAAGACTGAGATGA